TGCCAAAAGCAATTTTCTTTTTTCTAGTACGTTTTGGCAAAATTAAACTAGCAAAATTGTGACAAGGTTTGTGAAGAGAGGTTCGTCATGGCCGGTTGTCATACAACGTATTTCTATTTAAACAATGTTGTCTTGCATGAGTACTTATCCTGATACGCATTGTATCCACACTTTTGGCGATATTTTTCAAAACAATTCTTGGGTTTATATTAACTATGCGACACACTTTTCTAGGGATAAATAACCGGTTAAAAATTAGCTGTAACAATTTCCTGACTTGTGGAAGTTAACAATTCTCTGTCTCAAGTCAATGCTAAGCTCCTTTGTCTTCCCTATAGCCTTGTCAACGTGCGAATAACAATGGCGACACTATGCATTTCCTACTCTACAAATAATAAGGAATATAAATGAAGTTTATTTTTTTAAAAGTGTTATGATGTTAATTTAGGGTTAAGACAAACGCCAAATAACATGTAACAATAAAATGGGGTTTATTCGGTTGGTAAGTTGGTACAGATATCGCCTGAGTAGTCTATAACTAACTCAGCTCAGAACTTCTACACTCTTTTTTGACATGCCACTAGTTAACGTCCTTGTTTGTAGACGAGTTCATCTTCAAGAGGGGTGGTAGGTTCCTACACAACACCTCCCCCTTGAGATTAATTCCGGAGGAATTAATATTTTTTTCTTTTTGGGATCTGGACTTAAACGTTCCACCCTCGTTCTTTTTCTTTTGCTTGTCCTTCTTTGAACAACTGTTTCAGGCAATGGTGGAGTCGGTATATCAAATAAATCATATAATACCTCCATTGGTTCTTCCTTTTCTTCACTTATTTCTTCGATGATTCTTTTCCTTAATTGGTTCAAATGTCTTTTGTGCGTCCATTTTGACTTGGAGATAGGCATCCGATAAATCCAATTTAGCGAATATTTTTCCTCCACTTAAACTTGCAAAAATGTCTTCTGGTGAAAGGCAAAGGATATGTGGTCTTTTTTAGCAATCATTTAGACCCGTAGAAAAATCGGCACACATCCGAATTTTATTTTTTTTTTAACATATACAACAGGGCAGGCCCACTCTGAAAATTCAATGCGTGAAATAACTCCTAAATTTTCAAGCCGTTCCAATTCCTCGTCAGTCTGTTCCAAAACACCAAATGGCACATTTCTTTTTCGCTTGAAAATAGGTTTTACATTTTCCTTCACTTCAAATTTTGCCTTCGCCTTTTTGCAACATCCAAGACCTTCTGAAAATACTTGTGGAAATTTTCTTTTCAGATCTTTCACAAAATTTTCTGTAACCCGATTTTTACACCGAGAAGAAACATTAACTATTACAAAAAGAATTTATAGGGAGTTCCCATAAAATAAACAGTATAATCCAATCTGTTCCAAACAAATTTGAAGCATTTTGTAGCACATACACTTTAGTGTCTTACCAACAAATGAAATATTACAAGAAAATTCACCTTGAAAATGCAATTTTCTTCCAGAAATCCATGAGCCACTTTTTTCAGTCTTTTTAAGCAAAGGTCTGCCTATTTTAATCCATGTTGCTGTATTAATAATGGAAATATCACTTCCAGTATCTAGCTGTAGTTTAACATTTTTCCATTAATTTTTACTTGTACGAATTTTCTTTTCTGCCCCTCCTCAATCTCCTGACGTGACAACACAATATTCACAATATCTTTTTCGACTTAATTTTTTTTTTTTTTTTGCTTTTACAATGAGTACTTATATGGCCTTTATTGCCACACGTATAGCAATTTTTGTCGCGAAAAAACATTCACTTTAAAATGACCACCACCGCATCCAAAGCACGTTGGTTTTTAACGTTTTTATTAACTATTCCCTTTTTTGGTCGAATAGCATGGACACGGGATACGTCTTTTTCTTCAATTTGCGTATTGTCATGTTTTAAATTTTCAATTCTTTGTCACTCTTCCGTAACCTTCTGCAAAGTAATCTCGGAATTTTGTTCGAGTTTTGCCAATATTCGGGACCTTATGTCCTTATCTTTGCTAGAAGTCAAGCCTTGAACGAATATCAAACATTTAAATCGATCAGTTGAAAGATCATGTAACGTAAAACGTTCACACATTCTGTTAACATTTCCAGCATACGTAACAACATCCTCATCGTCACGCTTTACCATATTCAAACACGAGAAACGAGTATGAAACAAACTAACTCGCTCGCCAAAAATACTTGATAAAGTATTAAGTTTCTTCGAAAGAAATGTCACTAGTTTTTCTTGGAAGGACAAAATTCGTATACTTATTATTTTCATCTGTACCCAACTTTTGTAAAAGTAAACTCACCTTTTGTTCATCAGTCCAACCTTCACATTTTTTTTCAAATATTGTTTCAAATCTTCTGAAATACGCAGGAAATGTTATACCCTCCTCTGGGTTAAATTTGAACTCGGTAATAGAATTAGCAATACCTTCGACCGTGAATGACGAATTTACTGGATTCTTTAGTAACATTGCTTCAAATAAAGCCTTTGTGTCATTTCGCTGCTGAACTTGTAAGGCCAATAGTTGTTCCCGAAACAATTTTTGTTGTTCTTGTTGCAATCTTTGTTGTTCTTGTTGCTGAATTTGGTTTTGCACTAGAGTTTTCGTTAATGCAATCAAATCTTCCATTATGCGTAATAGATTACACAAAACACTTTTCGAAAACAGTCAAAAAGGAGAAAAACACGTATATATCCAACAATAAGCACAAGTCTTACTTCTTTTTGGCACGTTGAAATCCTATTTCTTCTTGAAGAACAAAGTTCGACGTATTGTTTTTTTTTCTTTCTTTCAGTGCGAGAAAAAAAAATTATATAGTCCACCTAGAGTTGAAAAATTCTCCACTCAGCGTGATGAATGAATCTCTCGTCGCCACTGTTATGATGTTAATTTGGGGTTAATAAAGACAAACGCCAAATAACATGTAACAATAAAATGGGGTTTATTCGGTTGGTAAGTTGGTACAGATATCGCCTGAGTAGTCTATAACTAACTCAGCTCAGAACTTCTTCTACACTCTTTTTTGACATGCCACTAGTTAACGTCCTTGTTTGTAGACGAGTTCATCTTCAAGAGGGGTGGTAGGTTCCTACACAACAAAAATATTTAATAAAATATTATTTCTCATAAGATGGATGAAAAATATCAGTAAATTGTCAATAATAAACTATTATTCAGAGATCTTCCGAGCAACGCCTAGTGTCACCGCTATATATATATATATATATATATATATATATATATATATATATATATATATATAATATGTGTGTGTGTGTGTGTGTGTGTGTGTGTGTATGTATGTACGTATGGTGGGGGAATTTTATGACAAAGTGAAAAAACGTTATTTATTTACTCTACCTATAGCAACTTTTTCTCTCTCTCTCCCTCCCACTTCAAAAATCTCTTTCATTCGCACTACTCCTCGTTCTTTAATGAAAAAATTAGCTCCCTCTTGATCTCATCAGTACCTACTTTTAGTATTTTCTTGTAGACATGTAATAGTTACATTGAAAAAGCACATAATATTTATCACTGATTTGTGTGATTGTTTTACTGAACAAATCCCGTTTGGAATATTGTAAATAACTGATGACATTTAGAGATTTTGCCAATAATCCCCAGTGGATTTATTTCAATACATAAATAAATTTAATAAACCTAAAATAAAAATTAAACTAAACATGGACGGCGTTTAAAAGGTATCTCTATCTTTAAATTTTTTACATATTTTCAAACGATATGGGGATGGAAAATTTTTAACAAATGTATACCCGTACAAAACAGGGTGTCAAAATGGTGTTTTTTCTTTTGATACTGCCATTACTGTGTACGTCTTCGACAATTTTCATTGTTTAAAATATATATTTTTAGAATTAAAAAAAAATCCAAGCTTTTGAAACCGGATTCATGTATTCTCGTTTTCCCTAAGAATTTGCAAAATTATTAAACACTATTTATTTGTAAGAAAAATTTTATATTTGCAAATTTATAAAAATATGTCAACCAATTATAATACAATATTTCTTATTTACCCTATGATAATGAAATAACTACGAAAACATTTTTATTCATAGATTTATAACAATGTCTGTGAAAAAAAGGAAACCAAATTTAAACAATCACGTATGGACCAGAAACTGTAATTATAAATTTTAAAAGAATAATTTCCGCGTATTTATTTCATTTATTCTCTCTATATAAAATTACTAAAATATGTTTCTAGCATCTGGATTTATACCGAAAATCAGCAAATATGATAACAAATATAATTATTTGGATTTTTATAGTTTTTTTCTTTTTAAAAAAAAAACAACAAAAAAACGAAAGAATATTGTTTATTATTTTTATTGTCAATTCTAGAGAATAAAAGAGAATGCATCAAGCCAATTTCAAATGTTTGGGTTTTATCAAAATTGTAAAAGATTTTTAAAGCAATAAATCTTAGCAACGTTGTATACAGTAATAGTGGTAACAAGAAGTAAAAACAATCGTCGTGATGTATAATTTTCTGGTGGACTACTATGTTCATATTTTCTGATCTTTCAAATGTTTTATTAGAAAGTTCCATACATAAGTAATAAAAGTATAAAAGTAAAATACTTATTTATGACTAGTATCTATACAGGACACCACTTTCTATCGCCTTTTTTTAGCAGTAAGCAAATTATCCACCCCTAACTCTCTAATCTCCTACCCATCTCTACAGCTTCGTTAGATGTGTTACACACATCTTTCACTGACTCTTTTAATTTCAATATATCCTGTGAGTATAATATTTTTCAAGCCTTCTTTTCTCATTAATTTTAGAAATTTCAACTATAATTTCCAAGTTTGAGCAAAAAACGTGGATGACATGATAGAAACGAGACAGCAGCAGGCAACACTTGAAAATCTATTTTCGTTCCGGTGCGATAGAAAAGAGATTTTACAAAAAAAAAAAAAAAAAAAAAAGAGAGAGAGAGAATTCACACTTACCTTAAGAGATGCGTTTCCGTTGTTTACTTCTGCAATAACAATGTCAGCTTTTGCCATAGTTCCATCTGGAGAAAAGCCCAAGCCAATGTAACCAGTTGTATTGACAACAACTTCAAATACTATGTCCTTCTCATCAAATTTCCAAGAAATATGATAATTCTTTTCATTGTCCACGTAGAGGCTATGAAAATAATTCGTCCCCATGAGAGAGCTTACCTGAACACGTTGCAATAACGTCATGAAAATAACTGTTCGACTTATTAACAAATAATTCATATTGCTTTTTTAAAATTTAAGTTCTATTAATGGATGGTGTATATTGCGTTATAAAATATTTTTAATTCTTATCCTCAGTGTAAGTTAATCAAAGACAACTCCCCTGTATATCTGCGAATTGGTCTACGAGAAAAAAATTTTCCGTATGTCGCCCACGACTAACAAACGTAGATATGCTTCGTTCATAAGAAAAGAATATGAACTGAATTCGTGTGACTAGTGAAATAGTTATACGTAGTTGACGTTCAGGATGAATGATTTTTAGGGATGGAATTCTATAGACGTACCTATTGCTGTTTGCCCTCTCTCTCTGTATCTCTCTCCCTCTCTGTCTCACACACCCTTCCCCTCACTCTCACTCCCTCTATCTCTCTATCTATATATATATATATATATATATATATATATATATATGGAGAGAGAGAGATTAGATACCACCCCCAAAAATTCTAAAAAAGAACGTACCAAGATAAAAAAGAGGCACAGAACCTGATAAAAACGAAATTTTATCGTCAAAATGTTTATATTATAATTCAGATTAAAGACCAAGAGTTTTTTCGATTATTTCTTTAAATGTTTTCCACCTTTTACGTATGTTCGACATTTTAGCTAAAAATCATGTTTTCCTTGCGTCAAGATTAGTGTTGAAAAGTTTGGTGTTAAAAACACAATTTTTTGGAAATGTTTGCAAAAATAAAATAATTCTAATTCTTTCCAATTAAATTTTAATTCCTTATATTCAACCGAATTAAATTATCTTTGAAGGATTTCTTTTTAGAAAGTTTTGGATATTTTTTATATCTGTAATCCCCACTTTTTTAATTTTATGAAATTTCGAGAAATTAAAATTATCGCCTATTCATATTTATATCAGTTAAAAGCAGGATTCTTTGAAGAATTTAAAACATCAAATTGTTTTAGTCAAGCAGAAACACCATTTGCTGAATATCTTCCCTGAATTGTAAAATAAAAAATACAATAAATGTATGACATTACTTAATTATAAAAAACCTAATTGTTTTTATAAATAGGATATATTAAGAACATTATTGTCTTAAAAAAGATTTTTGATGAATAATTAATTCTCGCAAGAACTGTTTTCACTTTTTTAAATTTTAATTAGATAAAATATTGAGTTTGAAATCTTTTAAAATAGGATATTAATTTCAGTTTTTTAGATAATATTATTATTAAGTGAAAACTATATTTCCTAATCATAAATGAAAATGCTTAATACAAATTATCAAGCACCAATATTTTAAAAATAATTTTGAATTTTTTGTATGCATATAAACGTGTCGATTGTTTTGTTTTTTTTAGTCGTGGCGACCATATATGACTTTATCAGAATGTAAGAATGATAATTATGGTAAATTTAAAATCAACATTTCTAAAATTCAATAAAATATTAGACTACGGAGAATATTTTCCTAATTTTTTAAGATTACCGAATCCTTAAAAATTTCGGCTTTCAAGGGATTAACTATTTGTTTAATATTCTAAGTATCTGCCTCTAAGAAGTTCAGTAGATCATGAAATTTGTATTAAACTTTATTCAATCACCTGAATTTACATCCGCAATCTCGATTATGTGACAACAATTTTTAAACAATCTAAAATTATCAGTTTGTTTATACGTGTTGCAGCCAGCAACAGGTTTCATGAGATCATAAAATTCCTAGAACAGTTTGGTGCAAGCCTGTGCGAAACTGCTGAATCCTACCACTGCTTATAGGTGCTTATAGAGATACGTATAACCTATAAGCTAATATTAATATTTCTTTAAATGCAACTGCTGCACTTAACAACCAAATAATAATACAAACGCATAGAAAAAAAGTAATTAACAAAAATGAAATGAAAAACAGAAGATATAAAAATAAAAACAAAAGGAAATTATATCGGTCCAGACATGTATTCTCAAAATGAATAAAACACACATTGAGGATTGTTTATTTTTAATGCAATACATTCTTAGTCATGGTTTGTGTACATGCGCAGCGAGCGTGTGATTCACAGTTGCAATTCGTGTTTTGAAAATTGTATTTAAGGACTTCTACTTTTATATTTTAAAATATGTTTAGCACAATTACGCCCAAATACTCGATACTTAAATGCACGGTTTTGTTCCTAGTGCGTATTATTATGGTGCTTGTCTTCAAAAAAGGCGACATGGTTTTAAAATGGTTTACCTTACACAACAATTCTTTCGGACATTTTAGAGTATTCTGTAATTGAAATTTCTTTTTTAATCTATTCATTCCAGGCAAGGTGATAATGCCACTATGATGCAAGGGGATACTGGAAGTGAAAGAGATTGAAAAAAACCTTTAGAAAGAACTGGAAATTGTAAGCTTGACTTTGTTTCTTTTATCTACCAAATCAGTTCGACGGTGGGGGATAAATTAATAGATCGTCATCAATATATCGGAAGCATGTTGATTCTTTGGGTGAAATATTTTGGAAAAGAACAGATTCAAGGAATTCTAAGAAAATACATGATATCACTACACTTAAAGGTGACCCCATTTGTAAATCATTTTTTTGTTTATAAAAAATATTGTCTCTCTAAACCCCATAAACCAAGCATCCAAATGTATCTCATTATTTCAGGTATTCGCAGTGCGTCACATAAACTAGCGAAAGCCATGAGGAAAAATTTAACCCCTCTCCTCGCATATTAAAAATTTAGGCAACCTGGTTGAAACACTGTGACAAATATGACTGACAAAACCATAGCCAGCCTTGATCTAAAATTAGTTTACTCTAACGTTTCAGTTAATGTTTAAATCTTTTTGAAAAGCATCGAACACAATCAAAAAGAAACCTTTCCCACTAGTAGCTAAAATAAAATTAGAAATTACCAATCAATGTTATTTTCGTTTAACAATAATTTGGGATCAGTCACCCCCACCCCACTGAGAAATTGAAGCTTGGTCAGAGGAGAACTCAGCTGTCATCTATAGTTTGGGAGGTGCACACATACGGTTGCATCATCTACATATCTATTTACGCAAAAGATGAGTGTATGGTTAAGTAAATCATAAATATAATGTAGACAAAGGGACCAGTCGAGAAGTGAAACTTGGGTGACGCCTGTATTAATGTAAAGAGTTTCAGAGGATTGGCCATTGGCAAAAAACCTTCATGATAGAAAGGAATTTATAATTGAGAAGATTCTTCGAGTGATTACACAGATGGAGAACTTTTGCAGCAGTCCGCTAATGCCAAACATAGTGAAATGACTTCGATATATTTAATGCGACCGTCCTCCTGATGTGTCTATTGTCTCTTCTTTCACTGATTCTGGGAGTAATGAGATTTGGGATATTAACAGTGAACCGAGAAGATCGAAATCTGTATTTGTCGCTCAAGAGGTTGTCTCTGTTGAGGTGCTCGACAACTTCCTTGCCTCAAAGAATTTGCGAATAATACTGAGGAGGCTAATGGGCAGGAATTAAGACGCGGGTGAGAGATTATTCGCGTTCTTGATAATTAGGCATACGTTTGATGACTTTTATAGCCTTGGAAAGGCTCTCTCATTTCAGCAGCTATAGAGGAATTTTGCTAAGATTGGAGATAATTCAGAGTTAATAAACTTAAGGAAAACTGCATGGATTTTATCTCCATCGGAAGGGTCAAGGCTCCGTGAGAGGGATTAGTCTGGAAGGATATGGCCCGTGTCATCTAAGGTATAATTAGAGGTAAAAATATTTGCAAAGAGCTTTCCTCTTTCTTATATAGTGAATTTATTTTATTTTTAATATCGCGTTTTGCGAGACGGCTTCTATTGTGACGGATATTCAATTCGGACGTCCGATGTTTAACTAAATTCTTTCATATGTATTTGTTTGCATTGTTCTTATGTTTAATGTCTCAATTACGATACAGTACGATACACTTAAGTTGGAAAAGAAAATTATTCAAAGGCAAAACGTCAGAATGAAAAGAATCTTGTTTACTAACATCATAAATGCAACTGGAAAGACATATACTGTTAGATTTGAAATCTGGTTGGTAAGGTGGAATCATTTGAGTGAAACGAAAGAGAGGGTCAAATGGAATTTGTCCAATTTCAATAATTGCGCCATCAAATTTTCTTCGGGCTGGTATCAGAATCATTTCGAATCCAGACGAATCAATCACACCTAATAACAAAGAAAAAAACAGAATGAATGAAATACTTATAGAAAGAGGAAAGGCACCTCATGAAACATCTTGTTATGAATCTTATATCATTCTGAATAACAGCATTAATACAAGGAAAAAACAAACAATAATTTAAAATTTCCAATAAGCAAAATACTGCATTTGGAAACTAATTTAAAATGAGTCGTAGGATGTTTTGTTTTGAAATGACAAACAATCGCTTATATTAGAGCCATTTTTATCTTCCGTTTATCACAATGTAATTGTCTTTATAAGAAAATATTTAAAAAAATAAAATGTACTTTTCTTAAACTTTGTTGGAAGAATATTAGCTCATTTAAAGTCTAATTAATTTAATTTGAAACAAATATTTATTTTTGTTAAATAATAGTTTAGCAGGCTATTATTTTTTAGAGGAATCTTTGCTCGGACTTCTTCAGGTTGACCTTAGAGGTCAGATGAATGACAAAATAAGGAAGTCGATTTTGACTGGCAGAAAGAGTGTGAAAGCGATAGACAGAGAAAGGGTTTTCAGTGAGTTGAGTCTTAACCGTCGAACGATGTAGATGTGTTTTCTTTTGTGACAGGAACTGCTCCATAGTGCAAGGAGAGAGCGACCCCCTGGATAGTTA